TTGTCTTCTGAATTGTCTACTGAAGGAGGAGAGTGAAAGAAAGCAATCAAACTCATTGTCTGAAATATATAAAATTTATTAGTCAGTTTACTTTGAAATTGTAACTACAGCTGGATCACACCCAGGAGACTGAGAACCCGGTAGGTGCACGCACAATCCTTGTGGCTGAATGGGTATGTCAGCAGCTAGAATAGCTGCCAGTGCTGTCTCACACTGGACAGCCCGAGACCACAGTAGCTGCTCAGTCTACACAGGGCTGGATGGATCAGTGGACCCAACCTGGTTCCAAAACCCCAGAGGACTCCTGAAGAGCTGCTGGTCCTCAGTCAAGAACAGAGCCTGGAAAACACAGGCTCCCACATCAGCAAAGAAATCAGCATCAGCAGCAACTGGATAAATTAACTTGTGGGCGAGAGGGAAGGTCAAGCAAACAAAAGATGAATAATCTTCCTTCTGCCACACCCCTTTGTATCTGGGCTGCTACCATAATGCACATTTGGTCTTCCTGTATCAGCTAAACAATCAAGACATTCTTCAGGTGAAGCTTCCTAATCAGGTGATAAAAACCAGCCCTCATATCTATCACCTGCCTCCAATTCATGGCATTCCCTGTAGAACAGTCAAAAGACACATGCAGAATACAGAGCTGTGTGCTCTGTAAATATGGTGTCAAAGTTCCTGATATGATTTAACCCTAATGTGGTCCAGCCACGATAAGATTAAACAGTGTTGGGATCATCTTTTGTATAAGATCAGTCCAGCTGAATGATTCAGGAAAAGGATGATTCTGAATTTTCTGATTTTCCTTTTCCATCAAGTCCATTTTACCTGCCTTTTATTAGGAGTTCGTGCAGTATAGGGTAAGTGGTCAGGCTTACTCCTGGCCTCAAGCTTAGAGGCTTATGAAGAACATTATCACAACTTTCAGCAATGTTTTCAGGATGTATTTCACACAAAGCAGCATCAAGGTACCAACAGCATTCAGTGTTGCTATAGGGCTGTTTTCTGATTACTTCAGGTACAAGGCACTCCAGTGTCCCATAAAGGGTTGTGGTGCTATCAGAAATTGCTGCTCTTTCTTTACAAAGCTCATATCTGGTAAGTCAACATGTCCAACTGAATAAAAAAGATATCTTGACTTTAAGTCTCTGTATCGTATTTTGATAGAGTGCAGGGAACCCAAGGTACTGGCCATTTCAGCACCATAAAACATTTCTCTGTGTTCAGGAAGACTATTTTCTTTGTAAAGGAAAAAAGCAATTCCTCTCCACTTAACCGAGTCCAGAAGAAAATAAAGCCTTCCCATTGTTTGGAAAGAATAATTCAATCTAACCAAAAGTGATGTTTCTCATTTTTAAAAGCATGTTATGTTCAGCCATAATTGGTTTCTTCTGGTGAAAACTACTTTTTTTCTGTAACACTTTGATAGTATGAAATTTTCCATCCAGCTCCCATTTTGCAAGGACATCTTCTAAGACCTGCATTTTCCAATAATTTTTTTAAAAAATCAATTTTGGGGTTGGAGAGATGGCTTAGTGGTTAAGAGCACTGGTTGTTCTTGCAGAGGACCTAGGTTTGATTCCCAGCAACCATCTGTAACTCCAGCTCCAAGGGATCCAACTCCCTTTTCTGGCCCCCAAGAGTACTGCATGCATATGATATACTTGCATACATGTAGGCCAAATACACACATAAAAATAAAAATAAATAAATACAAATTAAAAAAATCAAAGTCAGTTGCTTTAGCACAATAATTTCCAATTGGTCCCAAGTTGACATTCTGTGAGATAACATGTAGTTTCTGAGTTCTTCCTTCATCTACTTCTTCACATGGGGCTGACTGATGTTTTGGGCTATTCTTCTGAAGGGAGATTCTGATATCTGCATGATTAAAAAGCTCTGGATACTTAACTTCTAAATGAACTTTCTGTCTTACTCTTACTTGTTTTATACAACTGGTTCACCAAATATTCTCTTTTACTTACATACATGTGTGTATGCATGTGATACACATCTAAATATGTGAGGGGGCGCATGTATATGTGTTCATATGTATATATATGTTAATATGGGGTCACATATGTTCCTATGTGTGTGGGTATAAGTGGAGGCCAGAGACTAACCTCAGGTACTGTGCTGGATAGCTTTAGTGTCAACTTGACACATCTGGGTTGAGGGAGCCTCAACTGGGGAATTGCCGCCATTGGACTGGCCTGTGGCCATGTCTGTGGGGCATCTTCTTGATCGTTGAGTGATGTGGGAGGGCCCAGCCCACTGTGGGTGGTGCCACCCTTGGGCAGGTGGGCCTGTGTTGCATAAGAAAGCAGGCTGAGCAGGGGCCAGGGGAGCAAGCCAGTAAGCAGCATTCCTCCATGGCCTGTGCTCCAGCTCCTGCCTCCAGGTTCCTGCCCTGAGTTCCTACCTTGGGCTCCCTGATGAACTGTGACCCGGGATATGTAACATAAAATAAACCCTTTCCTCCCCAAGTTGGACTGGTAAGAGTATTTTGTCACAGCAATGGAGAGACAAACTAGAACAGGTATCATTCCTCAGATATACTGTCAACCTTCTTGGTGTTTTGGCCTGGAGCTTGCCAAGCAGGTTAGGTTGCTCCATCAGGAAGCCCCAAGATCTGCCTGTCTCTTCCTCCCCAGCACTGTGATTACTCCTTGTGTGTGTGTGTGTGTGTGTGTGTGTGTGTGTGTGTGTAAAACATGGGTTCTGGGGATCAAACTCATGCCCTGTGCTTACAAAGCAAGCACTTTACCAACAGAGCCATCTTCCCATCTCCATCAGATATTCACCTAGCAAGAATCTTCAGTCGTAGCAAGAAAGTGTTGCTTCAAAGTCTTGTAAACTCTGCATCTCTCCATCCCACAGAGATCGCAACTTTATAAGTAAACCTGTGTTCTTCCTGTCACCAGAGCTTGGGATGGTTATTCTTGGCGCGGGGGCCTTTTCTACTAGTGCGTGGTACAATCTCTTTGCATTTAATACCTCAAAGGATATCAATAAAAACAAGTTGGAGGAAATAATCTACAGAGGAGAAGTGCAATGACTTTATCTAAAATGTGAAGTTTCTTCAAGTAATGTTTAATTTCTATCATGGGAACTTTAGGGATGCGCCTCCTCCCATGCTGTGAATGGGAAAGGCCACCACAGCCATGACACACTCTTCCAGGCTCTCTGATGTATTACTCATCTCCCAAAAGTGCCCATGTGCTTGCTCCCTGCCCTGGCATCACCTTTGGGCCCATGCTGAGTTCAATTATTGATAGTTTTGGCATATGTCCCAGGCCTTAGGAGCACTGAGATTGAGAGAAAGGAGGAGATACAGGATCTGTAAGACATCATTGCTTATCATTTTCTGGATAATTTCAGTTTCAAAAGTTGAGTTAATCCATAAACCAGAGTTGCTTTTCTAGTATTCAAAACATTTGGCATCTGTGGATCAGGTGCCCAAGCACATGAACCTGTTAGGGTCATTTCAGATTTCAATCATAACAGCACCCCTAGGCAATTTTACCATTGTGTATCATTGAGTATATTTACATAGACCTAGATGGTATAGGTTACTAATGCCACATGGCCCTACTACCTCGCCATATCCCTCACTTTCCCCTTCCTTCCTTCCTTCCTTCCTTCCTTCCTTCCTTCCTTCCTTCCTTCCTTCCTTCCTTCTTCCTTCCTTCCTTCCTTCCTTCCCTCCTTCCCTCCCTCCCTCCCTCTCTCCCTCCCTCCCTCCTTCCTTCTTGATTTTAGGAAACTGGGTTTCACTCTGTAGCTTAGACTATTCTGGAACTCGTTGTGTAGTCGAGGTTTGTCTTTAATTCCCACTATGTTCCTCTGGTCTTAGGTTCTCAAGTGCTAGGATTAGAAGCCTGTGCCCCCATGTCTGGCTAACATATGGCTTCTTCATGTAATCGACAGAGGTACACACGAGATAGAAGAGGCTGCTGGTGGTTTAGAAGAAAGTGTTGGTTACATTAAGTTTTTAAATTTTTATAAGTAAAAGGAATACAATCTAAAATAATGGTAAGAAGTTATTGACATATAACCCAGTAATATAATTACTTATTATTACTGAGTGTTATCTACTGTACATGAGTATATGTGCTATATCTTTATGTAACCAGCAGTGCAGTTGGTTTCTTTAACCAACATCACAGCAAACACGTGAATGATGTGTCAGGCTTCAATGCTATGATGGTCACTGTATCATCAGGCAGCAAACCTTTCTCACGCCACTATAATCTCAGGGGACCACCATCATACTTGCAGCCCATCATTGTCAGAAATGCTATTCTGTGTTGTACAACTGTAGTTAATGGCAAATATTTATTTACTGACTCTCCCAGGCCATATACCATTATTTGGGGTGATCAATATAGAGATTGAGTCAGAGTAATCATTTTCCTAAATGTCATTTCTTTTCAACATAGTTAAAACAACTTCCCTTTAGCTTCATAAACCTGGTCCTCAGGTCAACATTTGGCTTTGCTAACTCTCTGGTATAAGAGTATCAGGCCATCTTTCTCTAAGACTCTCATTGCTTGGCCAGTTACAAATATTGATTTATAGCTCAAGAAATAATGACTATAGCTCCCTGTGTAAGATGTCATTTTCCAAATATCTGGGTTAATCCATAGGCAGTATTCTCCCAAGTCCTTGACCTATTTTTTGTCATATTGTAATGATCCATATTGACCAGATAGAAATCTTGACAGTCATGTGGCTCTGTGACTTGGCCATACTTTCTCTTTCTCAGATGATAACACTCTTTAACATTTGCTCCTTGCATATCAACCAGTTTAATCTTCCAGAGCCATTAGCATTAGTTCCCCAATTTCTAAATTAGTTTGCTTTTTCCAAAAAAGTGAGTTTCATTTTTGTTTGGGAAGATGCTTTAGTGATGGTATAGCTTATTTGGTCATGGCTAACAGAACCTGAGGAGTCTTTGAGGTGCAAGTCCATTTGTCAGCTTATTCTTTCCTGTTCAGGTTCCTACCTCCAAAGCTGTACAATATGGGGCTCCTTCAGCAGAGGTCTCAGCATACACGGGACCCAAGGTCTGAAGGTGGACAGTAATGTATTATACAAGATTATGGGCCATGCGTTGCTGGTGGGTAAGTAAATGTGCTTGGTTAATGTTGCTTTTTTTGAGTAGAATTCATAGTTTTTCATAAAGAATTCTCTCAAATGCTAAATTATGGATTTATGAAATCATTGCAAATGGGCCATGATTTAAAATTCCAGATTTAAGTGCAGTCATCACTGAATGACTTACTCAACGTTATCAATAGGAAACTAATCATTTAAAAGTTGAAATTGGGTTAATAAACGCGTAATGAGGTGTTTTAAAGTTTGATGTTTTAAATTTTCACTATAATTCTAAGTGCATGTACTGACTCCAATGGCCAAACTTGGATGATGTTGCCAAAGTTTTGAAAATCTTGAATTTGTGCTTATATGCTCATGTGGCTTGTGGAAGTTCATATTTCAATATCTTCCTGGTCATGTGCCTCCCCCCTTTTCTCCTGAAGTTCATGCAAAACCCAGGGTTATTACTAGAAATCTCAGATGGTATCACATCACTTCTCTCCATGTCCTTTAAGAGTTTCTCATTGCTTTTAAAAAAAAATACTTCGAAAGTTTTAATTAGGCTCAAAGATACCAGTGACTTAAAAGTTATCAGTGACTTTTACTCCAATTAATCTCTGTACTTACATTGTTCTTTTTTTTTTCCTCCCCTGTACCCTAGTGATACAGAGTTACTTTATTTTATTCTTCTAGAAGATTTACTTACTCTCTTCCTGCAACATCCACTCTCCCCTCAATCTCCAAGTCAAGTCTGTACATTTAAACTCCTTAAGGACCAATCAACACCCCTTAGTTTAAAATTATATGTCACTGTTCTAATCATCTGATTCCTTATATTTTACTACCAGATTCTGTCTTAAATTAGTAGTATATTATAGGCCCATCAGTTGAAAGAAATGAATTAATGAGCCACTAGTCTCTAGTTGTATCAGGAAATAAAAGCAAACCAGAGATTTTCATTGGAAGTAAGACCATAACTCTACTTGTTAGTGTTTTGTATTTAAATGAATCCAGTGATATGATCAGTGGGAAGATGTATGTTTTACTTAGAAGCAGTCTGTTGAGATAAAAAGCTACAAAGGTTCTAATTCCAGAGGGAAGTTGTTTAGTGAGGGAATATGGATCTTATGAACTTACTTTAAAACAAACTCCAGCTTGAAAGGCAAAGAGCTAAGGATCCTTGAGGTGATGAAGTGCAGAAAAATCTTTTGATTAGAGAAGAACAGCCTCAGGGACATCAAACCAACAGATATAGACTTCAGTCTGTTTGTCTTTACTTTTCTTTGTGTAAGGGAAAGTCTGCTACCCTTTGTGAAAATCCAGGATGGTATCCTAACTATTTAATCTTAGCAGAAAACAATATAGAGTAAGTACAAAAGAAAACCTGTAGGAGGAATTCAGCCTTGGTTATTGCAGAATATTGGTTCTTTACATCTGTTGTATTGTAAGTGAGGGAATAAAAATATTTATTAACTCATTATAAAGTTCTCAGTGTCATGTCTAAAATATTGCTAACCCAGACCCATGAGATGGCATGGGCATCTCAGATACGTGAAGTCCTAGCAATGAGGGCTTCTGTGGGCTGGCTATGTCTTGGTGCCAGTTGAGTGAATAAACCCTCGTTTTGTCTTATGGTGGGCATGCTCAGCTCCTCTAGTCTATTCTCATTGGGGGTGAGGGTCCTTGATGCTGTGCAGTCTGTTTGTCCAGGAGATTTCAGTCCTTCCAGGGAAAAGGGGTTCCTGCAATTTGAGCACCCAGGATGAGGCCATGTGACTTTTTTATCATTAAAATTTTTATTGAGTTAGTTCTATGAAATGCATTCTGAATCCTCTTATGTCCTCCCCACCCCTATATTCCTCCCATACCTGTCAGGTCTCCCCTCTGTCCTACAAGTCCCTTTCTCACATTCATGCCGTTTTGTTTGCTTTCATGAGTTTCACCAGGTCTGCCTGTGTAGCTTTTGGCAGTGAGGACATTCACTTAGATTCCTTCTAATAACTAAAATGGAAGGTCCATTTCTTTTTATTTAAAGTCGACTTCAGATCCGTAGCACTCTGTGACTAAAAGTCCATGTGCTCTTGTAACTTTTGTCTGCTTCATACACAAAAGTAAATAAATCAATATGCAGAAGTACATTCTTCTGTTCTCAGGGACCTTCACAGAGAGAAGATATAACTCCTGTGAGACCATTGCTGAAGGAAAGGATGGAAAATATGCAAATCTATTTAGAATATCTTCTAGTCCATCTATAATCATTATATTACAAAAATTTATTCTTTGAGAGTTTCATACACGTATACAATGTGTTTTGATCATACCCATCCCCTTTCCTTCCCCCTAACTTCTCCCAGACCCATGCCCCCCTCCCAAATTCATAGCTTGTTATAATCTTTTCCCCTCTAACCCACTGAGTCCCATTAGAGCTGTCTTCATGCACTTGGGTATAGAGACATTGACTGAAGTATTGCAGACCTTATGACAATTTATTTTTAAAGATATACCTTTAATATGTAACATATATAATTTTAGGATATAATAATGATAAAGCACAAACATATGAACTATGCTGTTTGTTAGTAGAGTCAAGAGTATTAAGTTGTGAGCCCCCCTGGTTTGATTTATTTATTTATTTAATTTTAATGTTATGTTGGTCAGAACAGGGAAACGTAATAAGGAACAATGTGATCCTCAGTGTTTCCGGAGCCGAGGGACTCTCCAACTCTGAAATGTTGGCACCATGTGGTATCTACATCCACAGTCCCACCAACATGATAGAGGTAAGAGCTTTAGTTCCACCCGGAGGGTCTGAACTGAGGTGTAGAAAATCCCTTCCTACACTTCACAGGAGCAGGATCATCCAATACTTCATTTTAATTGTTTACTTTCTATACACTAATATCAAGAAATTAGTTTATGGGCCTGGAGAAAAGGTTCAGAAGTTAAGACCACTGGCAGCTCTTGCAGAGGACCCAGGTTCCAGTCCCAGCACCCACATAGCAGCTAACAACCATTCATAATGCCAGTTCCAGGGGCTCTGACACTCTCTTTTGAGCTTGTTGGGCATCACACCCACGTGGTGCACTTACATACATGCATGCATGCAAAACACCCATATAGATAGAACTTTAAAAAAAAGAAATTAGTTTATAATTTTGTGATAAACAAGTACTTTGGAATAAATTTAATAATTTTTCTCAGGATTCATATAAAAACTACTTAAAACAATCTCTGTATGGAGCTTAACAAAATATATATTTATCATCTTCTGATAGCACAAACTGTAGTGTCTTGTTGCTTTTGACCTCTTGATTCTGATAGCAATTACTTATTGAGTACTCATTATCTTATCATTTTCATTTTGTCATGATTCTGCCTTTTAAGAAGATTTTACATTGAATCAGGAGGTATAGTAGATTTAGGTTTCAAGAGGATGAGTTACATCTTAATGATCTTAATTTTTACCCCATTATTTAGTACAGCTTAATGTGATAAAATTTTGACCCTTTTGTGATGTCATTTTTTTTCTGGATACAGTTAACATTTGACCACAGATTTGTGAGTGAGGAATTGCATTAGAATAGCAGAAGTCTGTCTTTGTTTCTCCATCTCCAGTCATTTTATCCCATGGACTACTTATAGAGGTAGAAGTAGGGTTAAAGCCCTCACTTTTCCAGAACAATGCTCTGAGCATTTACAGATGTACAGCCCCACCAAGCCCCTTTCTCTACAGTGACATGACATTTACGCCAGTTTCTGAGGAGCAAGAAGACGAGCTACTCTCTCACCAATCATCCGCTCTTAATTACCTTCAGCCGAGTAACCCCTAATAAAAAGTTGTGGTTCTCTGATCAACTCTCCTTACACTCTTAATTGTGTTTTTCCCAAGCACAGCACTTACACACCATTTTAGGTGCCTAATAGGGGTGGCTAATAGGCCAGTGACAAAAGGAGGCAGAATTGCATGGTTCATCAGAAACTAAACTCTAGGCAAGTTGCACTTAACTTGTTGGCTACTATGAGGCTTGTTGAATAGCTATGCTGCCAGGCTTGGGGCCTGGACAGCGATGATATGTTTTACTTTCTTGGGTAATATAATCTTGTATATGTTGAAATACCTAGACGAAAGTGAACCCTCAAGGTTACCCAGCTCATCTTCCTGCATGAGGCTAGAGTATCCTGGCCTCGCTGGGCAGGGAGTGTGCATTGTTTTCTTGCCAGAAGTCGTTGTTGAAAGGAAGAAGAGTTGGTTGAACTGGTTGTAGGTGCAGCAACAGGGGATGCATCTGAAAAACTAGAGCATCCTGTGAACCTTTGTAGACTGTAGAACACCACCCAATTAGCAATGGAAAAATGGAGCCCCAAATAACCCCCAGGTGCCTTTCATTTCAAATCATTTATGTTCTTTGTTTTAAGTCTACACTAGAAAATTGTGTGTGTGTGTGTGTGTGTGTGTGTGTGTGTGTGTGTGTGTAAGACATGTTTTAAGAATGTGGTTTTGTGGTTTTAGGGTAAACAGGTAATGCAGATTCATTAGATATTTTCTTAAATGACCTAATCTTGTAGTTCTCTTTTCATGAGATTATTAGCTTTACATTTCAATATAGTCTCTAAAATATAGTAGTTGATCAATAGTGAATGTAGGTATAGTTTTAAAACCAAAGTAGAGGTAATTGGAAGATAAGAAAAAGGGAAGAAAAATACACACCCTAAGACCTCAAAATCATTTTGAGGAGGTATGAATGAGAATGAGAGGATTAGTTATTAGCAAGGTTTAGATCTGTTAGACTTCTCTGTCAATATGCAGTCTTGCAAAGATTGGTCCAAATTTTCAGCTATGCTACTAATTTTCTGTTACGTTGCATTTTTGTCTTCTTTTATCTGGGCTGTGTCATGTTAAGCACATAGGTGATAACTGAGCACATGTGGAAAAACTTAAAAGTTATAGGTTTCCTTTGCCATGAGACCAAAGGAAGCTTATTTAGTCAGTTTATGTTTACTTCATGTGTCCCATGTGGATAATACACACAGTATTTTGAAGAATGCATTCTAGACACATACCTTTTTGCAAAAGGATAATAAGACGGGTACAGCTCCAGTCATATGGATATGTGTACCATGTGAACAGAAAGAAATACAGCAGAAAGTGGTTCTATTTAGTGGGGGAGAGAGATCTTTTATTGGAGTTACTGTTCCATGGGTGGTAGCTTTTATTTCCTGCTATATGACTGGTTCAGGGTTGGGTTGACCCTCAAGGGAATGTACTGTAGCCTTGTATGCCACTGTAAGACTGTGATAAATTAGGATTGTCCTTATTATTTGAAACATTGTTTTGTTGTATATGTTTGTGGTATATGCATACGTGAGTATGTTCGAATGTGTCTACATATGTGTATGTGAGTGTATTTTCACTTGTGCACATGTGCATGTGATGGTCAGAGGCTAGCATCGTATGTCTTCCTCTGTTACTCTCCACTGTGTGTTTTTTTGATCAGGGTCTCTTATTGAACTCAGAGATATAAGCAATTTGCCCTGACTGCTGGCTAGTTAGCTCAGGGGATCCACGTGTCTTAGACCTGTCAGCATTGGGGTTATAGACATATACTTCTGTGTTCAGTTTTTATGTGGGACCAGGAATTTGAACTTAGGTCCTCATGCTTGCATTACAAGAATTTACTCAATGAGCTGCCTCCTTGGCCTTTAAATGTTTAATTTCAAAGTAATTTCAGACTCACAAGAGGTTGCAAAAATATAAAATAAAAGTGTTCCTGTTTGCCTGTCACCCAGCTTCCACCAATAACATGTCTATGGTCACAGAATGACATCTAATTTGGTGTAGTACATTGGTGTACTACTATTAATTGAGAAAGACCCTCATTTAGATTTGAAGGAGGTAGCCTAATCTTCCAGTATGAGCATCAACCTAGGTATAAGCCTGAAATCCTTGACATATAGGTAGGGGTAGAGATCCTTAATTGTGTGCAATATTCTGTGGTTTTATGTTATTCCTGAATTGTCCTTATTTTGAATCTAGAACCAAACTCTGAGCCATAGCTTAGAGAATCCATCTTGGCTTCCATTCAGACAGCCTGACATTTTGTCATCGTTCAGCTCTTCATGGCACAAAGGAATTCTCCAAGTCATCTGCAGTCTCACTACCTAGGCTATAGCTGAACTAATTAAAGGACAGTTTCCCTGAAAAGCAAAGCCTGAGCTCTGTGCCTTCTCACCAGTGACAATTTTGTGGTATTTTTTTGGAATTCACAGAGGCCTTGCCATATTTCTTTGTATATTCCTTTATGAAACATTGCTGTGCTTTTTAAAAGCAGATTTGATGTGGTCTCCCTTATGAATTGTCATAGCTATTCATAGCACTTCGTGCCAGGCCTGACTTCTATCACCTCCAGCGTTAAAGTCTTCAGTTCCTGTCACAGGGATTCTTTTTGTCTGGCACAGTCTTCATGACCCTGCTTTTCCCATCCCCTCCTGCTGGACAGTCTGTCTCAGGCAGCAGCGAACAGCTCACTCCCAGGATTTCAGAGTTTCCCATGTTTACATAGGTGTCAGAAACTTCCTCTGCACATACTCTGATTTAGGAGAGTCCATGGAAACCCCTGAAGAGCCCATTGGTGACATACATTTAATTTGAGGGGAATTTGTTCTGGTTTGTGAATCAATTTTGTAAGGAATTCTGTGTTTAAAGAACCCAACCCCAGTTCTCTAGCTCTCCCCACTCAATAGGTAATGCATATTTAAGAGTTGCCTGAAGGGTTAACTACCCCCCCCCTTTTTTTTTCCTGGTGACTACAGATACATACTCCTCAAGGAGTTGGCTTACTTGGGCAGTTAATTTCTCTCTGGAATTTCTCTTGCTTGAATGTCCATAATACATTCACTTCCGCAAAGAATTGATTTCCACACAAAATTCCCTGCTTGCCTTAAACCCTTCCCTGCAAGCAGCTGACTGCCTGCATAAGTATGCAGTTTCCTTCTGAATCCTTTGTAGCATACCCAATAGGGATTGAGCATAAAAGGGCCAGGAAGTAATGCGACCTGACTGCTGATGTGCTTCTTGTGTAAGAAAAGTGAGTCCTATCGGCTAACAGAGGACCAAAGCTGCAATCTCTTGTCCAACTACAAATGCACTTGGAAAGTGTTTGTGTGTGATCACTCAGATGTTTCATAAATACTGATGGCACTGGGGCAGATGACTCAAAGGGTGCTTTCATTCACTGAAAATGCATGCTTTCTGAGCACCAGCACAGGCAAAGGCGATGAATAAGGATGCATCCTCTGGAATATATTTCTGAACTTTTGAAATAATTTCCCTTTTCATAAAGTCTTGGTAATGAGGGGCATACAGTGGTAATGAAATAGATGTGTGTCATTGTCAGCCTTTG